GAGCAGGAAATTTTAGTTCTAGTCCTAACTCTGCCAGTAACTTGCTATCGGCCTTTGAGAAAGTCCCCTTCACAGCCCATACCTAACTACCTGACCTGTAAATGAAAATGCTGGTAAATGATTTTCTCTGCTTGAAATTTTTCTGATGTGGAAACTGTACAGCTGTCTGGATCCTACCTGGGTGACTGGAAGTCCTATGTTGCCTGCAGTAGGCTTGATGTACACCTTTTTTCTTAGCATCAATACTAACAGCATCTTCTTTCAGAATCAAAAGTGTGCCAGTTTGAACAATAAATCATATGATTATCCTGTGCTTCACCAATATTCGTTCCTTGGGTCTTCCTGGCCGAGTCAGATGCAAGAAAAACCTTACCCTTGTCTCAGTAGTGGAGACTGACTGGGGTTACCTCTTCCAGACACAGTAGGTTCTTGCTGTCTGGTTGCTGAGCTGCTTGGCTCTTACCTGCTGCCACGTTCCTGGCCCATCTCACCTGGCTCTTGACTCACACCTTACACCTTGAATATGAAATATCCTGCTGCTTAAACTGAGAAACAATTCTGCTTTGCCTTTTGGCTTCCCAAAAAGGAAATTATTTCAGCTGGACTGTGAAAAGAGGACAGTAATTAATGTAGAGAAAAAGTAGTTTGATATAGCACTGCTGATTCAAAGACATAATATGCTGTAATGTAGTCATTCCTAGTCCTATTGGATTTAATGCTATTTTTCATCAAATTACCTACAATCATAGTATAATTATATAAATACTGACTGAATATAACAAAAATTAATTTTAAAATACAGAGCTAGATTGAAAAGTAAGATGTTGAAACAAAAACTTCTGCCACTCAATTATGAATCTTTCTAAACATATTCATTCTCTTGCTATCATGTAAAAAAGTTACATGAATCACTATGTGAAATAACATTGTCTTCAACATAAAACAAAGCAATGATCTATAGAAATAAAACATAAAAAGAGAATAGTTATACCTTATTCTTTTTAGTAGGCTAAAATATACTATATAATTTTATTATACTCTTAATTTGCTTAGCAAAACGTTTCCTCCCAGATACTGAAAGACAAACTTTAGCTCAGGCCAGATTTAATAATCCTAAACTTTCTGAATGTCATTTGAAAAATTAAACAATCAATTGGTGAAATTCTCTAATCTTTGCTTGTGGTTCAAAATCCTTTTCCCTGTCTTTGCAGGTAACCTTCAGCTATTCAACCCAGAAAATGTAATATGTAAATGATTGAACAAATATCACAAAACTAGCATCCTACTCAAAATGCTGTTTCTCAACTCTGCTCATGGGTTTGAAACAAATAATTTCTCAGTAGTAACTGCTTGCTTTCCAGAAAGAGCTATGATTCAAGAAGAAGGATTGGGGAAACCTTGTACTTGTTAGAAACCTGATTGGCTAGCATCTATCTTAGAATCCTTTGGGACAATATTGAGGCGGGTTATATTGGCTAAAAGACCGTATTTCTGGGAACTTGCCAACCAGAAACTCAAATGAAAGCTTGTGCTCTTGAAGCTCTGAAGCAAAGATGTCAAAGTAGCACTATGTCCCTTCATAGTGCCTGCTCCCTGCTCAGAAAACAACCCTGGGAAGACCCAAGGCCTCGCAGGGCCTTGGCTGGTCTATGCCCTAAAGAGGAAGAAACAACCAGCATCTTTTATTTGATTTAGTTCAGTTTAAAATATCATCCTGTCTGTTCCTAAAAGGGGCAATTTGATCTTATGAGCAAACAGCAAAAGGAATTTTGCATTAGAGGAACAACAACAACAAAAAACCTGTTTGTTTATTAGTTTCTTACACTTTCTGCAAATGTCTTAATTTTAAATGCTAAATGTTGTTAGGACACTTTATTCAAGAGGTGTACTAAGTACAAATCTTTTTTATGATATTGGGCATTTATGCTCAATCTCTTTTCTGTTAATAATTTTTTATTTGATTATTTTTAAAAAGAAAAATAAAACAAATGTCTCTTTATCCAGCATGTGGTTCCAGATATTTGACTTTTAAATGTTTACCTAAGAAAAAAAAGAATGAAGTTGCTATTTGCCAAGGCTGGAGGGATGGAATTTGATATTTGTTTATGGAAGTCGTTGGTCTACTGCCTTACCTGCTACCCACTGCCCTACCCCACCACTTTCTCATTCTTCAAAAGTTTCACTGACATGAACCTCACTTGTGGGTCTCAGGTTATGATCAAGTACATAGTTTTATCTTTGTCTTATGCAACATTTGGGGTAAAAAGAAGGTTATGTGGTAACCAGTTTAAATCTTGAACTATGGGCAAAGATTGACCAGGCCAAGCCCTGAGACACACACTGTGTTAAGAGCCAAGACGCCAAATGGTGAAGATTCAGAGCCCAGCAGGCCACAGGCTGGAGGGGTGATGTGAGTTAGCACCCAGAGACTGCTCCTGGGTCAGGAATGATTTTTTGTCCCTTTTTTTGGATTTTCCACCATGAGCAAGTATGTTTGCTTACCTCAGGTGAGAGCCCAAGTGGGAGGTGGGGGAATATAAACGTTCTCTGCCACTGACTGGAGGGGCAGCACAGCCAAGAATCATGAGGACTTTTGCCTTCGTAACTGTATTTTCTTATGGTCAGAAACAAAAGTAAACAATTTAAATAATTCTGCTTAATGGAAATCAGGAAAGAGAAAAGGCAGCTATGAAGTGTTTTTACAGACCGTGCATGGACCCTAATGGTAACCTAAGTGTGAGAGGATGCCAGGCACCGAGAATACCCTGAGCAAGAAAATGATAAAAGCAAGTCCTCCCAGACATTTCCCACAGACCCAAGTATTTTCAAAGGCACAAAAATAAGAAGAGTGCCCTTTTTGAGTCACAAAATTGGCATGAATTGAAGAACTGGTTCTATGCTTGCTGTAATCATTGTTCAAGAAAGAAGGGGGAATCCATTGAATGTGTTCAGTGAGCTGGAAAGGTAACTCTCCTGACTGGAAGGAAATGATCAAGGGTGAGAAGCCAGGAGGAAAGACATATTTATGACCAGATCTCATTCTTCTCCCTATATGTCTGGCCTTGAAAAGGACAGATTGCAGAACAGGAAAAAGCAAATAGTTTGAAGCTTCCCAGGAGATGGGTAAACAGCTATCCTTCAGAAAAGGATGAGCTGTCGGGTATACTGACTGTGTGATACCTCACAAAGGTAGGAACGCTATTTAGACCATCACTGGCATTTTGGTTTACAAGACTCTGTTCTCTTTCCCTCAAAACCTTGACGAGATGCAACTTCCTTCCTGAGCTGAACTGTTGTGTTGGTTGTAGTATCTTGTCTTTGTTCTTGTGCCTCATTTCTCACCATCACTGCTCAGTGATGAAATGATAGAAAACTTGAGTCAGTGATAGGGACTACGTGAGACTGATCAGGCAATAAAACAAAACCTTCAAGAGCCTCCGGAAAGAGAGATGGAAGAGGAAGCAGAGGAGGGAATTTTGTGCTGGGCTCCTGGAGGTGCCATAAACCAGATGAAGATCTGGGACTTGTCTGTAATCAAAAAGCAAGGGGATAACTCAAAAGTGCTCAAGGAGGGGAAAAGAAAGCAGGCTTGGTCTTCTTGCGGTAGCACTGGCTGGTAATGGTTGAAATGTGAATGACCACATTCTAGTTAGGCACATTTCTTCCAATTTTATTCCATATTGCATTGTACCTTATATATGTGAAAAATTTAATGTGAAAATGAAATTTCTCTTTGACTTTTTGTATTTTAAAAAGCATAATCAACTGTGTCCCTGCTTCATCCAGTTTCTCTTAATTAAGGAAAGCCTGCCTGGAGACCTTCTGTACTTGTAGCAGATACCTGTATATACACAGCTGCAGATACTATAATGTCAGAGTTAGTGCACTTTAATAAATTATTTAACAAACAATCAGCCTCCATAAAATTGGTCTTGAATATCCATACCTGTTAAGTGATGGCAACTATCAAACTCTAGGAATAACAAATACCTACTCCGTTCATCAAGAAATAATATAAGTTTTGGAGCAGAGAGATGTGTGGACTCAAATCCCAGCGGCAGAGTAACCACTATGTCACCTGTAACCTCTGTGAGCTTAGTTTTCCCATTCATATTAACTCTAATTTCTAAGAAGCTATACTGTTGTAGGAATTACATATGATATATGCAGAGTGCTAGCACAATGTCATACAAAGCTTTAGAGCCTCAGTTAATGCTCATTACTGTCATTACAGTATACCATGAGACCGTTCATATTTTTAGAAATATAGATACTAGATAGATGGAGGATCTTAAACCTAGTTCGTTTAAAGTCCCGTTGATCATCTAAATACAAAGTAATAGCATTCTTAAAAGTGTTTTTCAGAAATATTAAGAACTACAAGATTTCTACTTAAATTATAAATAGTTTTGGTCTCACATAAGGTGACCAACCGGGGCTCCCAAGGTGAGGTCCCCAGACCAGAAGCATCAGCTTTACCTGGAAATTCAGGAATGCAAATCTGTGTGTCCCAGCCCAGACCTAATGAGTCAGAAACTCTGTGGCTGGAGTGTGAAGTATGTGTTTGAACCAATTCTCCAGGTGATTTTGATGCATGCACTATGCTAACATTTGAGAAATGCTGGGCTATGTTTCACTTATGCTAAACTAAGACATTTTACAGAGGAAAACAGAAAAAAAAAAAGCAATAAGCCTGTTTCAATTTCTTTAAGACACATGCGTCAGCACTTTTATAGCTGGTAGTCCACCCTATCACTAAAATGACTCAAGATTTTATCATTTCATCACTGAGCTCTGATAGTGAGTAATGAGGTACAAGAACAGACAAGATACGACAAGCAACACAATAGTTTAGCTCAGGAAGGAAGTTGCCTCTGTCAAAGTTTTGAGGGAAGGAGAATAGAGTCCTGTAAACCAAAATACCAGTGATGGTCTAATAGTGTTCCTACCTTTGTGAGATGTCACATAGTCAGTGTCCCAACAGGAACTAGGGCAGGAAGTGTATGGGTAGGGTCAGATAATATTTCTGAACGGAAATACCCAGGAGTATCCCAAGTTAATGACATTTTAGACTGTCCAACAACTATACAGTCAGCTCCTTGGGAAGACTCTGGTTACTTTTACAAAGCAAACCAGGAGAAATTTTATAATACTTGATAACTATGCAAGACTTTGAATATTTGAATTTCTAGGGCACAGTATTGTGCAACAATGCACTTTATCCCATAATATTTAAATCTACCTCCAGTAAGCCTCTCAGCACCTAACACAGGTTTCTTAGTGAAGAGCTACCTTTTTGTGGGTAATGGGAAAGGCAAAGTAAACAACCAAATAATATCATAATCACAAGTGTCAATGATTAGTGTAAAAGGTGGGGGTGATCATTAAATTCTAGTTGTTTCCACTATTCCAGTGGGACTTGTGGGAATGTTAGCAAAAGACCAGGGTGTTACGATCTGATTGTGTTTCATCAATTACCTTGGCTTTTGAATGAAATATGATGTAAGGACAAATCATTATTAAATTTGCCACAGATTCTAATTTTTTCTCTAACATGAGGCTAACCATGACATCCTTTCCCAGGAAGAACAGTCTCTCCATGATCAGGGAAACATCAGCAGGGGCTTTTCTCCTTCATCCCCACCACAGAGTCATAGAGGTCAAGTCCTTTTCTTGTTAAACCTAAAAAACGCAAATGTCAAAGTTGCCGCTATGGTGCACTAACTTTTGTCACAGTGACATGCCCTGTCACAGGGCATATGTATTCTGTTATACAATTGAAATATTGGATATACTATTGTTTTTATACTATCGAAAATCTCGAATAAACCGAATTCTAAAATAAGTATGACCTCGACAGTCTCACACCTACTTATATCTTACAGGTCTTTCTGTCTAATGCTGGCAACCTAAGCCATGTTCCAGACAAGCAACATTCAATAGCATTTTACTGCTCCAACAAGTTGGTTCGTTTAGGAATGTCAAAGGGAGTCACTAAATAGATGGTGGATAACCGTCATACAATCTCATATGATTTTCCACCAGTTACCATAGAAAAATTGATGAAGTTTCTTTACAGTGGAATAAGTTCAATCACACTTAAAAAACTAAATACTGAAGATAACCACAGCTGGCTGCTCTCTAAAAAAACAGAAATGGCATCTTTACTTTGTTTCAAATCCCTAACCCTGGTGGCGGTCCAAAGTTAAGGCAGTTAGAACTCCTTATGTCAATACAAGGAGGTTGGGTACATATTAAGTCAGCATCTTTTAAAACTAAGAGTATGACTACAGTGGGGTGGAATTTGGGACTTCACACCCACTCCCTGTTTCTGTTCTATTTTACCTTTTCTGACTTCTAAGCCAACAGGAGAGGGGGAAGGGCCACACTTTTGTGACCCTTCTTAAAGAATTGTGTTGAGTTTTGGAAACAAAGATGGACTTCTGAGGGGGTGGTTGATGATGGGCTGCAGGCACAGAAGAAACCAACTGGTGTGCCCCTCTCCCCACTAGCAGACCCTTCTTCCTCATTGGTTCAGGTCACACAATCCCCAAGAATTCAAGGAAACACCTAGAGTTATTTCCTGTTATTTCTCATTTCTCTTTTCTTTGATCTGGGATCAATGAAGTAAGAAACCTAAAGGCAAAGGAAAGGCAGAGATCAACACTGAGCAAGTCCATGTTGGAGAAGGGTAATATCACTATCGTCTGTATCCAAGAAAAGGGAGCAAAACACCCTGGGTGATGCTCAACATCACCTAGGACTGCCACTGTTCCCTGTCATCATTAGCATTGCTGAGCTCAAGCTTTAGGCCAGGAATTAAACCCAAATCTCCATGGATCTGTCTAACTTAGTCTTAGTCTTTGCCTCCATAACAGCTTGTTACATCCTGAGATAGAGCCTTTGTAAACCCTGTGTTGAAAGGGCACTGTTAAGGCACATCTTCTGTCTTGAACCAGAAAATTGCTTAAGCTCAGAGCCTAAAGGCAGAGCTGCCATGAACTGTTCATGGGGATTGACTACTTATTGATGCCAGTGTCACACACCTGTTTGTCATTTTCACGTCCAAATGAAGAGTCATGCTGCACATCAGGGAGAAATGTTCAGCTGTCATCTGTCAGCTGTTTGTTTGTTTGTTTCTGCTCTCCTTCTACATGAGAACACATTTAATCAGGGACCCATTGGGCAAGCAACATTGTGTGGCCTCTGAAGGCTGAGCTTTTAGTTCTCTCATCAGAACAAATGTAAAAGAATTGAATAACAAAATTTGAAAGATTGAGCTGCTTCAAATCTGAACATATTTATCCCGTTCTCACCTTCTCTAAATAGTATTGCACACTGAATTGAAGCCAAAATAATAACTGCAGATTCTAAGAAGTTTAACATTGTTTACATATTCAAATTTTTATTTTGAAGTTCCTTTAAAGGGCTAATTACTACAACCAAATCATATAATTAAAAAGTTTGCATGCTGTTGAAATAATTACATCAGATGTATTGCTTCCAATAGGAAAGATTTAAGCTATAAAGACCCAATCTACAGAAGATAGCAACTTAGTGAGACTTAATTATACAAGTTTAGTTTTGTTGCCAGCACCTATGAGATATCATAAAAATCAAGCTAAATATTTGTAATAAAGGATTACAGACTAGGAAAGATATTTCTTTTTTTTCTTTTTTAATTGCATTTTAGGTTTTGGGTACATGTGAAGAACATGCAAGATTGTTGCATAGGTACACACGTGGCAGTGTGGTTTGCTGCCTTCCTCCCCCTCACCTGTATCTGGCATTTCTCCCCATGCCATCCCCCCCCAACTCCCCAATCCCCTGCTGTCCCTCCCCTGTTTCCCTCCAACAGACCCCAGTGTGTCCATGTATTCTCATTGTTCAACACCCGCCTATGAGTGAGAGTTATTTTTATTAAGGATATTTCTTTAATAAAGATAACTCATGAAAGTTGGATTGTGACTAAGAGGAAGAGAAAAGAAGGAAAGAAACTAACAATTGTTAAATACGTATTGGGTGCAGAGATTTATTTACTTTACCTCATTTAACTGTTCAAACAGTCTTGTGAAGTGGGTATTATGACTATCACTTTGAAGATGAGGGAATTGAAGCTCAGATAATTTGAGTAACTGAACCAAAGTCATATAGCTAGTAAGTAAAGAACTAGGATTCAAATCTAGATCTGTATGCTTCCAAAATTCATTCTCATTCTTTTTGAGTATATGAGAGGCCCATTAAAAACCCTGTACATCCCTCTGAATTTGAACTCAGTTGAGAAATAAGACAGAAAGATGCAGATCAAAGCACTTGTTTTCTTACTAATAAAAATGACTGACTGGCAAATGTGACTTTTGATGTGTGACCAATTTGCTTGCTATAGTTTGTGGGGAATTGGAAATCCTTGCCCTCGTGGTTCCTGGCTCAGCAGGACCCGTGTAGGGCTTCTCCCTTTCCAGGGAAAGAGGTTGCTCTAGAAGGTTTACTATACTGGTGAGAAGATGAGTGTGTGGGGGATTGGTTGGCCAAGGGAGAAATCAAGGCTGAAGCCAAGTGTGCTGAGCTCTCACATGAGGTTCTTTGCTCCTGTTTCCTGGAATCATAAGTGGGTGGGGTAGAGAGAAGCAGGGGTGTTCCTTCTGTCCTTTCTCGCTTAGGGAGTGGGGGTGGAAATTTTCCCACATCTAAGGAAATTTTGAAAGACAAAATATGGTTGCTTCTTCAAGCAGACTACCTCAGCACACTATCCAGAGGCTAAAACCTGCTTGCTGCTGCTAAATTATGCCAAGAGAGAACATTCTGATCATTCTCCTCAATTCTAGGCATGGCACTATGGCTTGGTGCTTAAAGGCTGGAGTTTTGAGTTGCAGATCTAGGTTTGAGTGCTGCATCTACTAGCTTCAGGGTGTTAAGTTTCTTAATCTCTCTAAACCTTATTTTTCTCAAAAATAAAAATTGGGTATAGTTGTGAAGTTAGTAAATGGTACATAATATGTGCATTTGACACACTAATTTGCTATTATCTGGACATAATTTCTCCTAAGTAAAAGGATGAACTAATTGCAGGGCCTAGCCTAAGCTCTGAGAAGTCATTTGTTAAACAGCATTTTAGTCCACAGTAAACATGAAGAAATGAGATAAAGAGTTTAAACCAGGAAAGGCATAGCTGTAGTCACCAAACAACCTATTAGAGACTGAATTGTGTTCCTCAAATTCATATGTTGAAGTCCTAAGCCCAAGTACCAAATGTTACTGTATTTGGGGATAGGGTCCTAAAGAAGTCATTCAGTTGGAATGAGTCATATTGCATTAGGTGTTGGGTATTGGCTGGCCAAGGGAGAAATCAAGGCTGGAACCAAGTGCTAAACTCTCATATCAGGTCATTTGCTCCTGTTCCCAGGACTCTTTATGGGGTCCAATATGACTGGCACCTTTATAAGAAGAGAAGGAGGCACCAGGGAGTTACACATACAGAGAAAAGGCCATTTGAGAACACAGTAAGATGGAGGACGTCTGTAAACCGAGGAGAGAGACCTCAGAAACTACTCTTACCTGTACCTTGATCTTGGATGTCCAGTCTCCAGAACAGTGAAAAAAATGAGTTGGTGTTGTTTAAGCCACCCAGACTGTGGTATTTTGTTGTGGTGGCCCTAGCAGACAAATATACAACCCAAAGGATTCTTTCCACATTCGCCATCTTCCATTTTATAGTTTTTTCTCCTTTTGTTTCTTTCTTTTTCTCCTTTGGTTTCCTTTTCTTCTGTTCTCTTCCCTCTTTCTTTTAGTTTTTAATTTTAATTTTAATTTAATTTTTGGCCTTCCTATTCCTCTATCTGCCTTTCCAGGAAGCTGAATTCCAGACAATTAATCATTCATCTCAACAGTTCAGCAAATCAAATGCCCTTAATTGTTTCTCTTGTGATTCAATTAATATAGAATCAAAACGTAATGTACTCCTCTGGGAAAAATAAAACATAAAAAATTCAGAAATAAGGTATTGGGCCAGCTTCACTGGTTTTAAGAGAGGGAAGGGAGAAGATTCATACAGGTTTGACGCCAGGCAGCACCATGTGGTTGGGCCTGGCAGGCACTCGAGGCTTTAGGTCCAGTCTAGAAAATCATTACTTTCTAAAAGCTTTGAGGGTCTAGAAGAGTTTATGTGAAGAGATAGTGTTTGGAAAAAGTTTTGCAGAACTAGAGAAAAGTTTCGAGTTACCTTTTCTGTCCTAATATAGAGCATCTTTGCTAACTAGGTCTTGAATCAATCCAAGGTGTCTATGAGAGTAACCATTTTTAATTTCTCACTGGCCAACACTAACACCCTTTAGAAAATAAGCTCAAAGCAGCCCTAGAAGCCGGGGTCATGCGGCCATGGTGGTAGTAGAGCTCCTCACCAAGGTCAGCTCCTCAGTGAAATCCATGCCTTCTGGATGACTGCTTGTAAATAAATATTAAGCATGACCATTAAAAAATAATTTGGCTCTGACCATCAAATAGGGAAAGAGTGTATCAATTTCATTATTACATAAGCATACATGACCAAATACAGCTAGAGTGGAGTCTTGGCTCATGTACCAAGCTTGGATTTCCCAAGGAACACCTTCACATAATTTATAATGAAAAACTTTCCATTTACTGTGGTTCAACTGTTTGCAGAATTTTCAAGCTGGGCTCAGTGGCCCTAATTTTATGCATGCTGGTATAATGAGAAGATCACCATGTTACGGAGGCTTTTCCCTCTCAGTTTACTCCTGGAGTCTATTTAATTTGTAGCTCTAATTCTGCATTCCCAGGATCACATCAGATTTGGTCTTTCCTCACATCTCAGCAGCTGCACTTTGCTTGAAATGAGATACACCCATCTCTGGTCACTGTGCTCTGGCCCCCTGGACATTCTTCTCACCTGCTCTCCACAGCGTAGCTGCTGAGAGTCCTTTGCCCAGGAGTCCAGAGTAAGAAGACAGTCTTGACTGTGCCTGCCCTCCTTTAGTGACAAATTCCTCAGTTCACTCATTTCCTAGGGCTGCTGAAACAAATTACCCCAAATTATGCGGCTTAAAACAATACAAATATTATTCTCTCAAAGTTTGAGAGAAAAGAAGTTGAAACTCATGGTGTTGCCAGGGCAATGCTCACTCTGAAGGAAGGAGAAGAGTCCTTCCTTGCCTCTGCCTAGATCCTGGCGGCTCTTGGCATTGTGGCTGCGTCACTCCAGTCCCGGCCTCTACTGTCACATGGCCACCTTCCCTGTGTCTGTGTGTCTCCATCTTTCTTCTTATAAGAACACCAGTCATTAGGTTTAGGGTCCACCCTAATCCAGTATGCCCTCATCCTAACCTAACTAATTATATCTACAAACACCCTATTTTCAAATAAGGTAGCAATCTGAGGTTCCAGGTGGACATGAGTTGAGTGAGGAGGGGAGGGCACTATTTAACTCAATATACTCAGGGACCTTGCTGACCTTGCCTCTCTGCCCACACCCACCATACAGGGTCACCTGGTGGTTACTGCTAAAAGTAACAAGCTACCATTTGTCCTGGATTCTGAACCGATTCAGAAGAACCCTCGGAGCCACATGAATATGAAGAACTATTTCTCTCCATGGAAATTACAGCAGAACATTCACTGGGATCATTGCTTATTATGAAACAGGTACTAGACTTAACTAGCTTTGAAGGGTAGAACATGTTTTAGAGTATCTGTTATACGGTTCATTAGACTTTATATTGATTGATTGATTGAGACAGAGTCTCACTTTGTCACTGTGGCTGGAGTGCAGTGGTGCGATCTTGGCTTACTGCAACCTCTGCTTCCTGGGTTCAAGTGATTCTCCTGCCTTAGCCTCTTGAGTAGCTGGGATTACAGGTGCCCACCACCACAGCTGGCTAATTATTGTATTTTTTAGTAGACATAGGGTTTTTGCCATATTAGCCAGGCTGGTCTTGAACTCCTGACCTCAGGTGATCCACCTGCCTTGGCCTCCCAAAGTGCCTCCAAAGGATTACAGGTGTGAGCCACTACGCCTGGCCTCATTAAACTTCAAAGCAATAATTTTTTTTAAATACCCTAAAGATGTTGAAAATAAGGCATAAAGTTGATGTGGCAGTCACAGAAGAAGATATCAGCTTAAAAAAATGACAAAAATCACTTTTTCAAAATTGTCTTTACAGGCCGGGTGAGGTGGCTCATGTCTGTAATCCCAGCACTTTGGTAGGCCAAGGAGGGCAGATCACCTGAGGTCAGGAGTTTGAAACCAGCCTGGCCAACAAAAACCTCATCTCTACTAAAAATGCAAAAATTAGCTGGGCATAGTGGCGGCACCTGTAATCCCAGCTACTCAGGAGGCTGAGGCAGGAGAATCGCTTGAACCGGGAGGTGGAGGTTGAAGTGAGCCGAGATCGTGCCACTGCATTCTAGGACAGAGCCAGACTCTGTCTCAAAAAAAAAAAAAAAAAAATTGCCTTTACAGAAAAAGATAGTGGATTATAAATTGTGCTTGCCAAAATGTAGTTCTAAAAGTCCATTATATACCCAATATATTTTCCAAGTTGAAAATGAATCAGGGTTAAAGTCACTTGAAAGAAAAAATTTTTTGAAAAAAATTCAGTTATGCCTAAATTGTAGCAACTCCTCCTACCCTCATACACAATGCCAACTGCAATTCCGACAAGCTGCTCAATATAAATCTAATGTCAGAATTGAGATTTTGTACTATGATATAGAGCTGAGTTATAGTGAAGAGAGAGCAGAGAGACTTTGCTTATTATCCTGCATTAGTCAGATGATTTACAGCTCAAGACAGCAGTCACAGTAACTGAAGTGCAGACCAGGAACTTGAATTGATGAAATTCACTTCTATCTAAATGAACCTAAGAAGCTTGCTGCATGTAATTGTTATAATAGCCTTAAGAAGATCACTTTGCCAAATGTTTCCACCCAAAAAGAAGTAAGCCAGACTGGAAACAATATGGAAAACTCACTTTTTCCTTATTTCCTTTTCCCATGAGGATGGGAGAGCTCAGGATGTGGAAAGGAGAGGACAGAACCCATCCGTCTCTGAATCTAGAGATTTTCAAAGAGGTAGAAGAGCAAGTATTGCTAAACAGGCAGTAGGCATGAAAACTTTGAAGGCAATTTAAAAATTGTATGGGCACTTGGATTGTTTGAGCTTGCCTTGCAGGTTATGTTAATGCCTTAAACAATGTTTGTCAGGAAACACCATTGCAGATTACTTACCAGCATGGACCTGAGAACCAGATAGACTTGCGAATGAGCCTCTCTTGTGGCTCCATGAGTAAAGAAGTTAATTTCCCCACATTTCATCATGTCTAACTCAGTACTTATAAGAGTAACTATTACACAGACTTGTTAAAAGGCTTCAATCAGATAACACAGCAAAATGAATGGCAAATACTAAGTGTTTAATAAAACTTTGCAATTAACTAGAAATCTTTTGCTGATTTGTTTGATTTTTGCCTTTGGAACATACGAAGACTAATTTCTAATGACTCAGCTAACTCAAAGACAATATAAAAATCTACCTCTGCAGAGATGCACTGTAAGAATTACTTGACCTATTGTTCCTGGCATTGAAGATGGAGGGAGAGGCCAGGAACCAGGGAATGTGGATGGCTTCTGGAAGGTGGAAAATTTTCCCTAGAGCTCCCAGAAAGGAACTCAGCCCTGCTGACATATTTTTCTCTTATTTCTTTCTAGCATAGATGAAATTTCCCTATGTTGTGCAGGCTGGTCTCAAATTCCTGGGCTCAAGTGATCCTCCCGCTTCAGCCTCCCTCCCAAACTGGGATTACTAGTGTGAGCCACCATACCTGGCCTCCTACTGACATCTTAATTCCAGTCCAGTGAGATTCATATTTGAATTTCTGACCTACAGAAACATAAGACAATAACTTTGTGTTGTTGTAAGATACAAGATTTTTAGTTATTTGTTATGGCAGCACAAGAAAATGAATACAGCATTATATTATGTCAAAAAAAATAAAATCTACCTTTTCAGTGGAATTTGCACTGTACAATGTTTAGGCACAATGCTCAGGGGTTTGTGTCCCTGGCTTTGAGGATGGAGACAGATTGTGAAGTTTAGGGGAAAAGGAAAGAGAGTGAAAAGGAAAAGAGCCAAGTGGTCATAAGGGAGAGAAGTGAGAAAGACAAATGAGAACAAGAGAGGGAGAAGGAGGGAGAGTGGAGAGAAAGAAGAAAAAATAAGGCAGTGTGAGAATCCTTTCCCTGGTTGGTTGTGTAAGTGATGGGCAAAGCTACATCCCTGTGACCTGAGTTAGGGCCCAGTGTTGTGGCTGACAGTGGCTGACTGACTTGTGTGAGCAGCCCTATGAAGTCGGCATTGCTGTGTCCATCCTTTCCAGAAATTAGAATTTGGAGATACTAAGTTTTTCTTAAGGGGTCAGTGTAGAATCAGACAAAAAACCAAACTGTTTGAAGTGTTCTTAGAAAAGGGGCTAGAAAATAGACGGGAGGAAATTACCATGCAAATGATGCAGGAAATTTTCCCTGAAGTGAAGGACATGAGAATTCTGATAAAAGAGCCCTTCAGGTGCACAGCAGCACAACAAAATGAAAAGACAACAAAGCTGCCAATGTCCCGAAATTTTATCACATTCATGAATAATAAAACATTACTCATTTCCAGAGAGGAAAAAGCAGTTCACACACTATAGTTTAAGAATTAGAATGGCATCAGTCTTCTTAGGAATAACATTGAAAGCTTGCAGACAATAAAACAATGTGTTTGAACAGAGAAAAACATACCTCACTTCATATCATTTCCACAAGAAAATAATTTCCAACCTTTATTTTTATACCCAACTCAAGTCTCAGTTAAAAATGAGGCACTTTTAAATGCAGTCAGTCTCAAAAATTTACCTTTGACACATAATTTCTTAGGAAGCAACAAGATAGTGTACTCTACCTAAATTAAGAAAAAGCAAACAAGAAAGAAATTTAGGAAGGAGGGGCTCTAATCACAGGAGAAAAATGAAATCACCAGGTTGTTGTGGAGGATATATCCTTAGGAGTCCATAGAAACAGTAAAGATTCCAGCCCAGGTAATATGGCAAAACCCTGTTTTGATTAAAAATGCAAATATTTGCCAGGTATGGTGGCATGAAGCTGTAGTCCCAGTTACTCAGGAGGCTAGGGTGGGAGGATTGCTTGAGCCTGGAAAGATGACCTGCAGTGAACCATGATCATGCCGCTGCACTCCAGCCTGGGTGATAGAACAACACCCTGTCTCAAAAAAATAAAAATAAAAATAAAAAAGAAAAGAGAGAAGGAAGGAAGGAAAAAGGAAAGACAAAGAGAAAGGGAAGGGAGAAAGGGAGAAATAAAGAAGGAAGAGAGAGAGGGAGGAAGGGAGGGAGAGAGAGAAAGGGGAATGGAAGGGAGAAAGAGGAAGAAAGAACAAAAAGAAAAGAAAGAAGGGAGGGAGAAAGGAAGGAAGGGAGGGAGGAAGAAAGGCTCATAATTATAGCAGAAAGACAAAGGACTGCAAGAAGGTTATAGGGAAAAAAATTGAACCTGATGCATTTCATCATGTTGAGAGGGTATCTGTAGTTCAGGGGGAGATTTAGAAGAGGGATTAATAAAAAGTAAACTAGAAAAGGCATACATATAAACGCAAATAATATGAGATGAAGTTGTCTAAGAAAGAAATGACATCATAGTAGATTACATGGCTCAGCTCTAAACATTTTTATTGCCATAATAATGAATACTTATTTAAACACAAATTGTGATAACTGTTTGGTGAGGATGGGTGAGAAGAAAGTGTGTGTGTGTTGAGGGTGGTGTAGAAGAAGCAATTTCATCCAATTTACAAATTCAATATACAATATCTAAGTGTGAGGAAACATCCAGAAATTGATATCAGCATATTATAAAAATGGAGATAAAGTCCAAAATAAACAAAAGAATTGAAAGTCATTGTCCCTGGAAAGCAGGATTGGAAAGGAAACTGCTTTCTTAAAAAAATTGTTGTTGTCTTGGGTCTTGCGGTAATATTCATGTTCTTAAATTGTATTCATTGATACTACGAAGAATTTAAAAAGTAAACATAAAGAACATTTGTAATGTTGAGAAAAACATACTTCCCTATAATAGCTCCTGTGACAACTTGGAAAAATCCCTAACAGATAAGCATTCTACCTCCACTTTATATGTGAGGAAATTAAAGCCCACAGAGACTATGCTGGTTGACACAGTTATTCAGTGATAGGGCCAGGCATCAAACCCAGTCTTTCTGCTTTTCTGTTTCAGGGATCCTCATAATACCTCCTAACTTCTTGTTATCTAGCTTGAATTTGTTATGTTACTTTAAATAACATCATCCACACAGGAGCAACTTAAAAAAAAAACTGAAAGTAGGAAATGGCATCCTTCATTAGGCATGACCGAGCTAGATGAACAGATTCTTAACGATATCTTAGATCTCTGTTGCACCCCTGTTTTGAGGACACTGAAGAACGGAGATGAACATGCAGGTAAGTAGCACATACAGCTTTGAAATCTAAAGCCTTTTCTAATGGATAAATGCTTCTCATTAGATCATCCTAAGACAAAGAACTGATTTCATCACTTAACAAATGTTCTCAATTTGATTCAGTGCACGTGGGAAATAACATTTCTATTTGCTGCCAAAATATGATTGCATTAAACCTTAATAATGTACCTGTCATGGGGGTTAGACAAGAATATTTTAATTGAGTGTCAGCTACACCACTGGAATACTCCTACAGATTTATTTAGTTGTTTGCTATTAGTTTTGTATAGTCACTGATTAATATTGCCTTCCTTCCATGAGTACAAGGCATCACTAGACTTCTCCTTGGTAACCAGATATTTTTTGTGTCCTTTGGCACTAGTTCCTGGAAGTGTCATTATGATGTGTGCAATTTGCAGAATTCAACGGCAGCTCCAATTAAATAAACAAAATCTAATTATGTCAAAATTGGGCTTTGCTGGAATTAGGATGATTGATTTTCTTTCTGGGTAATCTGTGAACACCTGCAAAAATGGTAAATGTCAAGGTGTTTCTTAGAAAACTTTAAAAAATTTAAAAGAATTGGTAAGGGAAATGTAGATTGAGTTGCTGTATACTCTATAAGTTTGATCTTTTTAATCTAGGTTCTTGGGTTTTGGATTTATGAACCCCTGAAATTTTATGCAAAATGATGCATGAATGTGCATTTTTCAAAAAGATAGTCTTTAACTTTCATGAAATTTTAAAAGACATTTATAACCCCAAAACACAAGGAACCATTTCTTTACATAAAGAAATGGAGTCCATGTAGAATCATTTAATTATGTTCTTCTTAGTGGAAATAAAAAGATTTTTGTAATAGATACTAGTAAATATCTGAGAGAAAGTATTAAATTTGCCTTCCACTATAACTATTCAATTCCTTTTCTATTTCTGGAACCATGAATATCAAAGCTTATCTAAGACAAATTTCATCTGCCTTCCCACTCCACCCTCAATTTTTTATTCTAGCTTTTCAGGATTCATATGAGATTATCAACAGACAATACTTTTTGTCATGGCTTCCTAATTGAACTTTTCACTTCTCTTTTTGGATTACATGCTGAAAATATTTAATAAAATAGTGAAAATCTCAAGCATTTATAATTACTTAGTGATGCCAGTGCAATGATCCATTCACCGTTGTCTTGATTTCCTTCATTGATCAGAAGCAGCCTTTGTGTCATCTTTGCTGGAGCTCTCACAAGACAATTCCATGAAGCAATTATAGAGCAAGTAGACCCTCAACTTGACAATAGGTATGTGGCCTGGCTCTACGGACTTTTTTAAAAAAATTATATTTACTTAGATTTATAGCCGAGATTTTTATCCCTGTTAAATTTAATCTCTAGCAACCTCGACATATCCCATAAAACTTCTAGGAAGAAAATTTAACAGATTGTTACAGTTAATTAACACTTTTCTTTAATATTTTAAAGTTCAACTATACTATATTTTATATTAATAAGAAACAACACATACTCTCAGAAGCTTAATAATCTACTGAGAAAAATCTACAGTTTAAAAATAAGTAATACATACATACGGTCAAGTCTGGTTTTCAAATTCAGTGAAGGCAGATGAGCCACCACATTGTGAAACTTTCTCACTTTTCCACATCAAGAAATTAAATTTTGAAGTGCATTTAGCCTTATTGGTTTCTTAGATATCATCTCACGCTAACCAAATTAATGAAACACTAAGGTATAGATCAGACACAAATGTATGTTTCTAGGAAGCTGAATATATTAATGTTGGTTGTATTTGTGTCTTCTACTTTTTTTTCTGAGATGGAGTTTCGCTGTTGTTACTCGTGCTGGAGTGCAAAGGTGCCATCTCAGCTCACTGCAACCTCTGCCTCCTGGGTTCAATTGATTCTCCTGCCTCAGCCTTCTGAGTAGGTGGGATTATAGGTATACGCCACCACGCCCAGCTAATTTTTTATTTTTAGTAGAGGGTTTCTCCAAGTTGGTAAGCCTGTTTTTGAACTCCCAACCTCAGTTGATCTGCCCAGCTTGGCCTCCCAAAGTGCTGGAATTACAGGTGTGAGCCACTGTGCCCAGCTGTGTCTTCTACTTTTAATATTTCCTGGAATCTAGATACTTGGGAAACAAAAATCGTTAACAGTTAGTTGATAGCTATGGGGAAATTCCTAATGAATAACCTCAACTTTACCTTAGTACAGCTCTCCAGAGACGAAGATTTTATGACTGAATGGTGACTTGGTCCAGATTTCCTACGTGTGTGAATTGGCTCTGCCACTTTCTAGCAGTGAAACTTTGGATAATATTTAGCTTTTTCAAGTCTTTTTTGCCTCAACTAACAGAGGAAATAACAGTGTCTCCCTCACAGGTTTTTAATGTGTTTGAAATAAGAGAATGAATGTAACATACTTTGTGTTGTGTGGTATGTAGTTAATGAATTGTTTCCATTGACCACTCCACTTCCCCTTCTCTTACATTTATTCTTTTTCTTTGCCCTTCTCTTCATTCTTGGTCAAGTACATCCGTTTGTTCCTTGAAAAACGAGAAATAATCATGTATCTTGAGAAATACTTAGCCTTGTTTTATGTGTATGGCTTGAAAGTTTTACATAAATGACATTGTGTTCTAGATCTCATTCTGTTTCATGCATTTTTCATGCTACTATATGAGATTTTAATTCCTTACCTCCAAATGTTACATAGTATTCTGCCATGTGTATAAGCCATAATTTATGCATCTCTTCACTTGGTGATGGACACGTGTGGCTTCCAACTTATTATAGTTCCCCAAACAATTCTGTGAAAAAGAAACACATGCACAGTTTCTTGTGAATCTGTACTAGCTTTTCTGTGGGGTCTGCTTCCAGGGGCAAAATTGCTGGCTCATAATGCACTCATTTACATATGGTGGACCTGGAAGGATGGGACACACTTTTACATACTTTTCCAGTAGAATAGGGAAAGGAATAGGATGAGAAATGGCAGATGAATGGAAAAGTATTAAAACAAACCAAGGACCTTTCTCAGATTGATGCTAATAGCATGACTTTGACTAATGAGTATGATCAACCTGTGTTGTGTTCCTAAAGTCCCTAAAAATTAAGTTAAAAAGAGCATGGCTTCTTAAGTAAGTGTCTTAGTAGCCCATTGCATACTGTGCTTCATAGTCTGTATGCAAGCCTCCTACTATCCTACCAAGATGCTGCAGAAAATCATCAGGTGGCATTTGTGAGGCCCTTAAAACTCCTGAGACTCAGGCATAGACAATAAAAAGCTATTATTCTGCTTTGATAGTCTATGAAATTTTAACTATAGATCTCTTTGTTAATCAGCCCTGGAAATTGCTGTGACTTAAATGATCTCCAGGCCTGACCATTGCTGACTCCCAATTAGCCTATAAAGATACCTTATAAGGGGACTGTTTTGACACCTTTGACCATTTCATCCAATCAAAAAATAAAAGATCTCACACTAAGGAAGTGTAATGTCACTATGTTAATACACTATGTGGTCACATATATTAGCAAGAGGTATGGAATCAGGAGTGTTAAGTAAGCAGTGCAAAAAGAAATGTCAAGCCAGGAGTCAGTATTAGTTTAAATTTCCTCTCATAAATAGATATGACTTTCCTTTTTTAAAGAAAGAAAAGAAAAAGCATTCAAGTAACTGTTTTGACTATGCCAAAGTATTGAAATAGCTAAACCTTTCATTTTCAACAACACTTTTTGGTTTTTTGTAAGCCCAATGCTAAATGGCAAGGTAATGATTTCTTCAGGAACTGAGAAGAGATAGACCTGAAAAAGTTGTAACATTTTTCTTCACAACTATTAAGAAGAGAAATAATATGAAAGAGAAATCTTCTCATGTGCATAGGCAGGTTGGACCTTTCATTCAGAACAGGATGATTTTAATTGTTAGTGGTTTAAGATATAATAGATTCATTCCTTAAATTAGTTCATCTTGCTCAAGCCATTCTAATATTAATTCACTGTTATTTTTGGTAATACAGATCACTGTTAATTCTTCCTATTTAGAAGCCAGAAGTATAGAAGGAAAGGGCACATTCGGAAGTAACTAACACCACTACAATTTTAGAACCTTTCCATTTTATCAAATTGGGTTTTATTTTAAATTTTGTATCTCTTTTTTGTCATTGTTGTGTCTAATATGTTTTTATTCCTTAAGTGTGCTCTGTATATGTTCTGTTCACAAGATTTAAACATACAAATTTTATCTTAAATTTTATACCAAACAGAAATTATCTTAATGTATTGTAGAGGAAATTTCAAACATAGGTTGCAAAGCATTATTTTTATGTGTAAATACCTTTCCTATTCAATTATCTTTATACAAGAAAAACAGTTCTTCATTTTTAAATGCTTTATGAGAGTTGACTGTAAACATATCAGAGCTGAAGGAGGGGGTTTAGGACAATAATACGTGATTAAATTCCATCTTTTAATCCAGTTGTGGGGAGTTGCCTGTAAAACTGCCCCCTTTCACTCTAAAATTCACTCTAATCATTTGTGTACTCACTGATTTACATAGCTGGAAGATTCCTCTCCTAAAATAGGGGACTTCTTAAATTGCAGTCATTTTAAAGGGAAGTTTAACACATCATGTAGCTGCAACCCTTTTAGCTAGAGATAACTGCTGATATAAAACTATCAGTTAAAACTCATATTCACCTCTGTTCTGTAGGTGTTGACATACTGGAGAGCGTATATCTACCTCATTTTCCAAATCTGATCTAGGCTAAACCCTTTGGTGGGGCAAGGGAAGCAAGTTATAAAATAATCTCTTTGTTCTAACCCTGAAGTCATACCTTCTGGACTTGAAGGTACACTGGAGGTCCTATGTGTTGGTGCCTCCTGCTGCTCAGCAGGAATCTGAACTCTTCTCACCTTTCTGGTCCTTCTGTCTCACCAGGAAATACACCCAAGAACATTCTTCACATTGTCTTAATTCACCCGCCTTCTGCCTTGGGTCACTCAAGCCAAACAGAAGAGATTACACTGTTCATATTAGGGATGCCTTAACTATAGTTCAAAGATTGAAATTTGACACAAAAATCTACTTTTTCTAGCTCTAACAGTTCTGGTGAATATTAAGAGGAGGGCGTCTTTTGTTAAAAAATAGCCTGTAAGCTGGGCACGGTGGCTCGTGCCTGTAATCCCAGCTACTTGGAAGGCTGAGTTAGGAGAATTGCTTGAAACGGACCCAGGAGGTGGAGGTTGCAGTAAGCTGAGATTGTGCCACTGCACTCCAGCCTGGGCTACAGAGTCAGACTCCATCTCAAAAAAAAAAAAAAAAAAAAAAAGCCTGCAATTCAGTAGCATCCTCTTTATAAGCAGAGGATGAATAATCACCCACTTGCTGGCCACTGCTCTGCTTTGGGTCATCTGAAATCCATCACCGCATCCTTGGAGGATGATGTGAAATGCCAGTGAAATCGTGAACTAATTCAATGACATGCCCATTGTTCTACTCTTTAGGCAAATGCTTTTTCTGAGCAGGGAAGCTTTTCACGTATTCCTTACAGTACTAAATTAACTCAGAAAACTTAAGAATTATGCCTCACTGCTTCTTGTCTCTAGTTCTCAGCTCTCATCCTGGCAGGCAAGACCCCCAGAATCTTCTTAATCATGAAGTACTTGTGAGCATTCAGAAAGGCCTAAGTTAACTATTGTCGGGTCATGTGGGTTTGGAAGCTTGAGCACATTCTATGGCATTTGTGGTATGGCCTCTGTAGATTGATATATTTAATCATAGATAGCAGATGGAGCTGTGGGTCAATGACCTTCCAGAGTCCCTTCCCCAACTAAACTTAATGCTATCACACTTCAAAAGCAATCACTGTCCATCTGCTCCAGGTCCACATGCAGTGCTGGTCAGGTTCCTGGGCTACCAGAAAGACACTAACTAGAGTTGAATGCTTAATCTCCCTGCTCCCAAGTACAGATAAGAGGAGAGAGAGAGGCTCACAGCCTTCTAGAGCTTTATGTGCTTAAGCACCGATAGGGGCTACCATTTGCTGCATTTGGTCACTCTGGAATATAAGACACCTGAGACAGCAGCTGATGTGGCTAAGGAACAGTCAGGCCAGATTTGGCGATACTTATTTAGCAGAACACAGAATCCAAGAACCCTCATCAATGCCAGTCAAAAACATGACTCAGGCAAAGGGAACAGACAATAAAAAGAATGACTTCACATTTCACAGCAAGAATTCTCTGGCCTCAGAGAACACGAGGTACCTCTGGACCACACATCCCT